CGTCACGCCGTCACCCTCTTATATATATACCTAGACTACCCTATATCTAGTAATCTCCCGACAATTCACGAAGGTATAAGATATTTCCAGAAAGCAGGGGGCGAGACACTAGTCACGTGACCTCGCTGACGCAACAATATTTTATTGACTTTGTCGACTCTTATAGTCTGTGCAATGGAAAGTAAACAGAAAAAATATATGACGAGAAAATATGAAAAATACATTTCATTCAACATTGAGATGATTGATGATAATTCATGCGCCGCCATCTGTCTACATCATTTGTAATATAATTCATCCCACTGGAATTGGTTGTAATATTTGTCTATTTCAAATGTTCGTTCTTTGTTATTTGACCATGAATAAATCATCAACACTTACTTAACTTACTGATCATTGACTCTTTGATAATGTTACGTCTCCGTTTGTTAATTGATTTTTCCGTAACTTCGTTCCGACGAAATTTTAACGACACAAGTCTTTATTTAATAAAACTGGTTTATTCTTTCCGAATATAACTTTACCAATACACTCAACTTCAACAATCGCGCTAAACAAACGCTATAACAACGAACGTCAATAATACTTCTGACTGCAGTTCAATTACTCACTATCTACTCACACATTACATTACCTTCCCGCGTCACGTTTTCCCCCTCTTATATATACCAGACTACCCTATCTAGCAAATACTAGAGCATTCATGAAGGAACAAGATAGTTCTAGAAACTAGAGGGCGCCACAGTAGTCATGAGACTCGCTGACGCAACAATAACATAAATTAGCTTTTTGTGAATATTAATTTTTAATGTAGAAATGCTACAGCTACTTGTATTTTTTGCTATAATTTTATAATTTTTTGGTTTATTATATAATAGTACTAATTCAGTTTTCAGCAAAATAACAAGACAAAACTTTATCATAACGATATTATTAATAAAATTAAAAAAAAATTGGAAAATCATAATCTTCACATAAAAAAAAGAAAAGAAGCTGTTGTATTTGAATTGAACAAATGGTAGGTTTATATTTCTGCTCATCTGATAAGTTTTGGTGATCATATTGGTGTTATGTTTTATAAATATATTGTTGGTTCCTCATCTAACGTTTATGACTAGACTGCACAAATGTTTAAATAAAAAATAACTTGATGATTCATGTAATGAGTTCTTGCTAAATTTTTATGTTTTCTTTCAGATTTTCTTACCTGACAAATTTTGGTACATACTATTTATAACATTTACCAAACTTTTACATAAAATAGTTCATGTTAAAAAATATGCTTTAATTTTTTTTTTAAATTTGTGCATGCATGTTTTATAATTTTTGTATTTATTCATTTTGTAACAAGTTACATTTTAAATCTTACTTTGGATAAAATTTTCAATAAGACAATGATAAACTTAAAAGTTATATTTCTAAAAAGCAAATAACTTTGTGATTTATCATTTTATGTGTTTTCCCTGAAATTATTTAGTTTGTTTAAATAATGAATAGCTAAAACTTGTCTCTTTCTTTAATTTGCAACTTTTAGTGCAATAAAATCTGTGGAAATGGCACTCAGACCAGATCAGTAACATGCCAAAGAAACAAAGAAGTACTGGAAGATTCTCAGTGTGATTCTGATAGCCGACCAATCTCCAGCCAGCCTTGCAATCTGGGGCCATGTGAAGGTGTGGAGTGGATTCTTTCAGAATGGAGTGGGGTGAGAACTGGACACATCGTTAAATAATAATAATAAACTTTTAAAAATAACAATCTATTCTCACCCTGTTTGTTCTCATTAGATAGATAAATGCTTCTGGTGTTCAGCAAATAAAATAAAAAAGAAAGAGACTAATGTGCACTAAAATATGTAATACATTAGGTTAAAAAATTATGTTAAACTCCAAGTTATTGAATAGCTTAAGAAAGACCTTGAAATATAAATGATTTATTTATTTACCCTTAAACTCCTTCACTTTCATGCTTAAAATAAATTCTTACTTTAAGGAATACTCTATTTTAGAAGTAAAAAAAGTGGATTAACGTAAACAAGTATAAATTAAAAATTTGCTGTTAAACTGCTAGATCAGGTACTTATTTTGAATTTGATAAAATTTCTTGTGAAAATATCTTTTATGAATAGTGTGACCAATCTTGTGGACTAACATTGGAGTCTCGTGAAGCTCACTGTGCTAATCACAAAGGTAAAGTTTTCCCTGATGAAATGTGTGACAAAAATAAACTCTCTGAACTTAGTCGCCCTTGCACTGATTCTCCACCATGTGACTCTCTGTGGTTTGCTTCAGAGTGGAGTCAAGTAAGTATCTGTAGTTTGTTTGAAGAATTTATGACTCAGTTCATAATAAATTGGTGATTATTTGATGAAGTAAATAAATTTAATATTACTATGTTGACTATTTAAGTAGTTTTCAAAATCATATACATCAAATTTATTTTTAAACACAACAACTGTGTTATCTGCATATCTTCTGTAATTCTAACATCTATGTGAACTATGTGATTATTCTAGACTAATAATTGCTTTCAAGTAGGAAACATGAATCTAAAGCTCACTTAAAGTGTCAGCATCTTATTTTAAAGATAAAATAGTATTTACTGCCACCATTTATTGTTTAATGTTGTTATGTGTAAATTCCATTTTACTATGTGATAAACCAAGTATCTAGAGTGTTTTTTGTGACCAAACTTAAAACTACAGCTAAGAATTAAGCATAAATAACAAGTACAAGCATAATGTACAATTTTAATTCAGTCTTTTACTTTACTAATAGGTGTATCATATACAATATTCTTTTTCCTAAATATTGTATAAAAAGTTTTAGTATTAATCACATTTCTAATCATAATGTCATCCTATCTTTATTTCTGTCTAGATCAGAACTAGCTAATAAAGGCTTTAGTATAAAACACTATAAAATGCAAGTCTTTCATTAGAATTGAAACTTATGGAAAGAGTTATGGATTTAACTTATGAAAAGAGTTATGGATTTAACTTATGGAGTTATGGATACAGTTAACAATTGTTGACAAAACAAATCTTTTTTAATGAGAATTTTTGTTCTCAGTGCTCTGCTAAATGTGGAGTAGGGGCTCAGAGTCGAACTGTTTTCTGTGGCTACTGGAAAGATGATGTTGTAGTTAAAGCTCCTGAAAACCAATGTAACCTTATGAACAAATATGCAACAACTCGCAACTGTACAGGACCACCATGCAAAGCACTTTGGTTTACTGGACCATGGAATAGGGTAAGTTAACTCTAGCACGATGTTTAAAACAGCTTTCATTTATCAATTTTACTTACATTTTGCATCTAGTTCTGACAATTAATACTGCTCTTTGTGACATCTTATGCCATTTTCTATGGGTTTTTAGCTTTGATAAAATCTGGGTTGTCACAGTTCATGAAATTCCTGAAAAGTCATGAAATTTGCAAACCAGTTTTTTAGTATTGGAAATCCTGAAAAATTAAATATTTTGATTGGGAGGTCCTGAAAAAGCCCTTGAAAGCCTAACTTCGTTACTTCTAAAAGCCTTTCCTTTGTATTTATTTCATATTCACAAAAACAATCTCCAGTAAGTGTGACTCATAAAATGGGATATATATGCTGATTCAACATTACTGATCAGTAACAGGCTTTGATGTATGTAACTATGTTTGTAAGTGAAAATGTGTCTCATGAATATTGTTGGAATTATATTATTTATTTAAGAAAGCTCAAAACTCATTTTGCAGTAATCTAAAATCATAAAATTGTTGATAGGATAAAGACCATGGATGTTTTAGAATACATCTTCAGCACTTTAAAAAATAAGTAATAATGTTTCTAACCTAAGTTTTTCATCAGTTATTGTGTAAAATAGATTAATAATGACAATAATATTATAAAATAAGTGTCATAAACCTAACCACCCTGCATGAAATAGTCAAATATTTGCCATTTTTGACAGCCCATCAGCTTATATTTGATTGGTTCACCTATTATTTATACAGTGATTGATCTAGGCCAGAATATTTTGAGTGACATTTTGACCCCATCTCTAAATGTTTGAGGGACATTGTGATGTATGTTATTAATAGTACTTTGTCTCTTTATGTTCTTATTAGTTTTTTATAAGATCTAAAATGAGTAAAAGTCTTAAAAAATTGGTTTATGATTTAACTAGTAATCATCATACTCCGTGATGACTGACATGCATGACAACACCTGTGGCAATTAATAGAATTATTCACATCAGTTATTATTTTATTTTGGGTATTCGTTGTTGTACAAGATAACTTAAAGGGTGAATACCGTGTTGAAATATAAAGGTTTTATTGAAACAAAAGGTTTCTAGCTTTTTGAAAAGTTTTAAGTGGAATTGCAGCAGTAAACTAAGAATACATTTGAAAAATAATGGAATAATGTTTGAGCATTGTTCTAGAATATCTTATTTATTCTGAGATTATTTTGTATTATTTATAGATATATATAACGTACACTTCAGGGAATGTCCTCTGCTTAATTTTTCTCCATTGATTTGTATGAGTTTTAAGTGTTTGTTGATTATTTTTGAGTCAACCTATTATAATTATGTTTCCATAAATTTTAAAGTGATATATGGGGATTATTATTTTTTGAAAAACAGTGTTCTGTACCTTGTGGTGGTGGATATCGAACCAGGAGGATACTCTGCATTAGTGAAGAAGACATTGTTTCTTCCAAGAACTGTGATGCAGGACTGCGACCTTATGATAAAGAACCTTGCAAGATGCATCCCTGTGATGAAGGTATGTTTACCATGTCTCTTGTATACTTTAGCTTAATACGAGAAAGAAACAATAAAATTACACCTATATCTGTTACACCTCTCTTAGGCTCATCTTCTGTTACAACTCGTTTCTACTGCTCATCTATTATATGAAAGAACCTCTCATGAAAGGTCCTACTAGTACAACTTGGATTCTCTAGGATACAAACATCTGATCTCTGTTTGTTGAGTGATGCCTGGGTCACTGCAAAACATCATTTTGGTCTTGAATTTCTATAAATGAAAGGCCCTGGAGTAGCTCCCTCAGGGTTTTCTGCTGGTCAATTGTGGCTAAGATCAACTAAGTGCCAATATTGTATGTCTTCAACAGGTAATGTTGATATTATGTCTGGTACATGTACTAGTTTTCAGGCATATCAATATAGTACCGATGAACCCTGGCATTGTTGCACTGACCTCAGTAGGGTGAGCTTTTGACTGTGCAATTTGTTTCCTTATTGTACTCCATGGTGGACGAAGGACAGTGAACCTCAAATTTCTTTTGCTCACCATGGACAAGCAGGTGGATAAATCAACATGTACCCCATCTTTGTCTCTGCTATGTACCACATTTGAGTAAGTGTAGCCACTTCCATTGGACCTGGTGTACAAGACCATTATTTGTTTTCACCCTTGTACATTTGAATCCCGTCTTTCTGATGGGAACCAGCTTCTAAAATTTCAAACCGGGTTAATTAGGAAGGCCAACAAACCTGCCAGGCAGCTGTTCTTGCCATCCTTAAAACCTAGACATATTTTCCAGGTATTTTTTCCACAGTGGACACCTGACTGCCAAATAGCACAAAAGGCTTGTAAATTAGTTTGGAATATCTTTTGCAGATATTCCACTTTTATAAACCACATAGTATTTCAGAGGGCTTGTGCCCATGCCCAACAAATCAGATGTCAAGGCCAGATGGAATCTTGGAGTAATTTGTTCTCAGCATCTCTTCCACTACTTGTTCCAAAGTTTCTTGGTACAAGATTTTGAAATGTGAATGGGAAATATATAACCCATTTTTTTTTATCTGGAGAGTGCTCTTCCTACCAGTTCAACACTTCCTTCTGTTCCGCTGCCTTTTTGGCCTGAACTATCTTTACAAAAATAATCAACTATTCACTCTAGTGAAACTTAAACTTTTTCAACATTGGTAGAACAGTAACCTGGTCAGGCCAGATAACATTTATTACAAGATGCTGCACCATCTGTTTCCTGCCTCTTCAATCTTCTTTTGGTTTTTTTTTATATTTTTTAAGGGATTTGTCAGGACAAGGAGTTTCCAGATTTGTGTCAATTGGGCTATTGTCATCCTTTTTTTGAAGCCCAGGAATGATTTGAAGGTTCATTCTAATTGCAGATTTATTGCTTTGATTATCTGTATTTGTGAATTTGAGAGGATGGTTAATACTTGTCTTGTTTGGTTCCTCCAATCAAATAACTTCCTTTTCACTGCTCAGATAGTGAACCACCATGGATTACCTGAGTTGCCAAAAATTTCAACCAGGAAAGCTTTTCTCTTGATAAAGCATATTACAAGATTTCCATTCGTATAGGTTTCATGACCATTTATCCATCTTAATCTATAATTCTTTAACAGAGAGGTCATTTCAAGCTCATATACGATCATTATTATCCCATTTCTTTATACAGGAGTTCTAGAATATCTCAGGTCTGTGTTTGAGTGTTACATTTTTTAGCATTAAGATCAATGCCATCACTGAACAATATATTCCTGCAGTTGCAAGCATTCTCTGTGTTGAGGACTTTTGGATTTCCTGTCAGTCATTGAATGGGAGCTCCAAAATGCACTCAATAATTTTGTGAGTGGACCACCGAAATAATTTATAGTTTTCATAATCTAAAACAGTTTGCATGCGTTTATCTCATAATTGAGATTTACACTTATCCTATGCTGTATTTGGAAGATGCATAAATTCCTGTGCTGGTTGAGACAAAATTCTTAGAAATTCTCTTTGACAAAAAGCTGACTTTTATTACACACACATAAAGCAGATTAAAGTCAAGTGAACATTCTTCAACTTCTTAGGAAGTAGCTAGGTGCTTTATGCTCAATATCTATCAAACAGTTATTCAATCTATGCAGGACTATGTGTCTATGGTCTTTGCATTGAAGTTGTTGGACCCTTTGCATCATCTGGAGCTATGACTCTGCACTGGGGCTTTCTGCACTTCTCCACTAAAGAGTTTGTACACAAATTAATCTGAACCTCCACTTCAACTCTGATGCTTGCAACTTTCCTTGCAGTACACTGTAAAGGTTGGATCATTGGTATTGTGTGTTCATACCCCAGTGGGCTTTGCTTTTTGCATAAAGATGGTCTGCTGTCACAACCTTTGGCCTTGATGTCTAAGCAAAGTTGAGTTAGATGGATCTGACATTGGATGACATTGCTGTATTGAACGATCAGTCCATCCTATTATAGATCCTTATGTGTGATCTTTCTTTGAGTAACTTGAAGAAGTCTGATTTTCCTGTGTGACTGTATCATGTTATCTTTAATGAACACTTTTTGAGTCATCTTTCTGTTACAGTTTTTACAAATGGTTTTGGAATGGTTTGACGAAGGGCTCAGCTATGGTTTGCTGCAACTTTGTAGTTGCTCACAATAACTCTTGTACAGATACTGTTTTCCCTACTGAGTTGTGATCTATCTTTATCCAATTTTCTGGAATCCTAGCCATATCACATTCTTTGTTTGTATCAAACCCTGGATTGTAGCATTGGAAATCCATAAACTTACCACTGTCCCACTAGTGGACACCATATCAGAATCTAAAGGAATATGTTTGTTTGCACTATTGCCAAATCCACAGGTGACATCAGTACTTTGCCTATTTTTTATATAGATGATTGCCCTGTCATCAGGTCAAAGCTATGTAGCAGTTGGCAGATGATTTAGGCTGAGCAACTAATGAACCAGTTTTTCTAGATTAAACCTTTAGTTACACTAATCAGAGTGAGGAAATGTCCCCACAAGATTCTACACTGGCTACAGTTTTATTACAAGGAAATGGCTTACCAATGTGTTAGCTGTGACAACCAGTGTGGCATGTTTTTACATATATATTTAACTTGTGGTTCCTTTTTAACCCTCCAGGTAAAAGTAAGTGAAAGTAAGCATGTCACAATTGTTTTACAGAATTACATTCAAAATTTAATTAAACTTTTATTATAAATGTATGTTAATAAACTTGGCATCAAAACTTAGATTATAATTTAAGTTTTAGTATTATATGAGTTATAATTTCTGAAGGAAATATTTAAATAAATTTTCATTTTTCATTTTTATGTATCATGTGACACTTCTTTTCTCCAAATTGCCCATTTCAGAATTTCCTTCCACCCCTATATTATTTCCTAAGTTTCCAAGGACTTAAACTTATGTCCCTAAACTAAAATGAAAACTTATAGCATCTATTCTTTTTGCTTTAATGAGTTATAAGCTATAAACTGAAACTCATTTTT